CAAGCGACTGCTGCAGCGCGAGGTCGGAGGGGGCGCCAGTGCGGTCGGATGACAGGCACCCGCAGTGCGTGGCAATATCGCCAGACGACTCGCCGCCCACATACTGCACGCCTGTGACAAGATTGTCGTCGTTGTCGATGGGCGTGATGGTGACCTGGTTCACGTTGAACAAACAAGGACGAGAAGGTGTTGTTGGGGCAGTGAGTGAGGAGGACAAGGTGTCGAGGGGGCATGGAAGTAGTCTTGCAATTGGTAGAGGAGAAGGGAACGTAGACATGCATGCAGTCGTTGAAGCAAGACAAACGCAGCAAGAGAAGATCGCAGGCAGGTAAGACAGGCACTGACACAAACAAAAGCGCACACGCACGCACGCACACACACGCACGCACGCACACACGCAAGCACACACAACACACACGCACACACACACACACGCACACGCACACGCACACACACACGCACGCACACGCAGACCTGGAATCGCCGGCCAGGGTTGAGGCCGGTGAACGTGCGGGATGTGAGAGGGCTGTCGACAGTGACGGGGTAGTTGGGCAGGGTCGTCGTTCCAGACAAGTCGAGTGCCCATTGGCCAATTGAGATCTGCGCGTGTGATATATGGGAGGGGAGTGTATTGATGTGTTAGAGGTGGGGAAGGAGGGAGAGTGGATGAGACACGATAGCAGTGCCCATGCATGTGCACACGCACGCGTGCACACACTCAACACATACACAAACATTTACCCAACTCACGCACACATCAAACACCCCAATGCGCACCTCATATTTGGGGTAGGCGGTCGCATCGGAAATGGCCAGGCTGATGGACGTGGCGCCTTCGGTGACGACAGCGGAAGGGCCGTCAACTGCACGAATCATTGAGGCATGGTACAGCAAGATGAGTAGGGGTTGAGGGGACGCAGTGCTGCAGCACAGAATAAGCACATGAATGTGGCTGTTCACTTGTTCACATGCACGTACTAAAAGCACACGCAAATGGACCCACTCAATCACCCAAACGCGCACAACCACACGCACACACACACACGCACACACACACACACCGTCACACTCGGTGCCAGAGGAATCGATGTCGCCGTATGGACAGTTGCAGTAGAAGCTGCCCTCCGTGTTGACGCAAGTTGCAGGTGAGACGCAGTTGTGCGTGCCAGTCGTGCACTCGTTGATGTCTGCCCAGAGGATGAGAAAGAGGCGTTGGTGAGACTGTGTGAAGGCAAACACGGGTGTATGTACACGTGTTGTGCACACTTGTGTGGTGGAGAGAAACTGCCAACTGCTCTTTTGTGAAATGCAGGGCAAGTACGGCAACAAGCAACCGCGCAACCAACCGTCACACGTGCGAGGAGAACCACTCCAGCTGCCTTCGTTTGAGACGATGCGACACTCGCGTGCGCCAGCAGTTCCGGACGAAGAAAGCTCATAACCATCATCACATGAATCGTACGTGCACTGGTCACCTACAAGTTCGTGCGGTTGAGTCGGGGAGTGAGTGAATAAGTGAGGATTCGTGCGTGCGTGGGTGAAGGAGTCGCGGAGTAACGAGGGAACGTGACAGTGACAACAGCACCGCGAACACACGATGGGCACCAGGATGGACTTGTGCCTACGCACACTCAACTGACCGAATGTTCCGCCGCAATCGCCCGTGACTGTGCCGTGCGTCAGACTGAGAGATCCGCAGCTCACACCTGTGGTGGAGACGGACGAGAGTTAAAGCGTCAAAGAATGAGTGTGTGTGAGGTGAGGAGGTGAGAAGCATTGTCATGGGTGAACCGTGCAATGCAGTGACAACAAGTCTTCGCGCAGCAACACAACAGTCACGTGCAACTGGACGCACGCACGCACACACGTACGGGTGCATCCGTAGGTGCCGGAGCTGACGTAGCCGTCGCTGCTGTCACAGTTGATCTGCGCGTGCCAGGAACAGATGGAGCAATGAGCATGATGCGCGGTGATGAGGTTGGCAACATGGCGGGCAAAGACGAGTTGGTATTGAGGGAAGCCATACATGCTTCTGTTCTTGTGTGGATGAAGTATTGTTGAAGGGACCATGATGGTGGTCAAGACAGCTGTGCTCTCACCTGACAGGTGTAAATTTGCCAGCGGCGATCTTCGTTGTCGTTGTCATGGTACGAAGCAAAGCCTGCAGGCAAGCACACGTGTGTAATTGGGTATCGTGGTTATGCCAACGGTCACTTCAAGTGGTTACATCAACGGGTGAATATGATTCGCTGACTCTGATGCACATGCAAGTGTACACAACACACATGCACAAGTATACAAAGTGCGCACATGCACGCACCAGCGATTGCGTAGCCATCACGGACAGTGTAGGAGAGGGGGTCGTCAAGGTTGTTCTCGTAGCTGCCCTTTGAGCAGTAGTCTGTTGGCGGTTTCAGGTGTATGGCACAGCGAATGTAGCAACCAAGGCAGCGTCAGTAAGCAGAGAACAGCTCGATTCGATGGAAGATGGCAAGGTTGACTGAGAGGTTGCAAGCAGTGAATGGACGAGGCAATGTGTCGGAAGCAACAGTGCCACGTGCAATGTGCAAGGAATCAACACACAAGGCCCATGCACTCACCGAGGGTGGCACCGGTGATGCGGCGGCACCTGAACCTCCAGCGCCTGCAGTGAACACACGATGTACGGTGGAGACAGTGGATGAGAATGGTGGGTGCGGGCCACGGCAAGGGTCAGAAAGGCACGCACAGTTGGTTGCTGCATGGAGCAAATCACACGCAACAAGCACGCAGCAACAACAGCAGCAGCAGGCTTCCGCGAACAAGTGGTGTATCATTCGTACCGATCCTCCTGTGTAGTGTTTTTGTGTGATTGTGTATGTATGATGTGAGCGGTCAAGTGCGAATGATTCAGTGTTAGTGGTTGTGTGATTGTGCATGTAAGCGCGCCTGTGAGCAAGAACTGGGACAAGGACACAAAGTGCAGCGCACACATCAGGGTTCCACTTGTCAAGGCTTGACGCAGGCAGTTGCGCACGCAAAAGGCGTATGGTGTCTTGGTGTGAGGTACGTACTCTGTGCTGCATCGGTGTACGGGCAATACGGGAGATGGTGAGGGGGTGGGAGGTGTCGGCGGGGGTCGCATGTGAGTTGGCATGTTCTGTGTTGATTCGCGAGCAAGGCGAGCACACACAACACAGCATACAACACGTACACACCACAGTACAGGACACGCAGAAACGTGGCAAGAGGATCACGTACGTTGTTGTGGTAGGAATACGCGCCTTCGATGTAGTAGTTGGTGTTGCAGAGATGGTCGAAAGATCCGTCTGTTGTGTGCACGACAGGATCGTGTGAGACGTGTCGTTGAGCGCCACGCGAGCGATCGTGTGACAAGCATGCACAAACAAGCGGCAAGTGTGTGTGAGTGTGTATCTGTGTGTGCTTATGTCTGTGTACGCCTCTCTGCGTGCATGCGAGTCTGCTTGTGCACGACATGACTGACCAAAGTCGTTGAGGTACGACGTGGTGTAGTAGCTGCCGTATCCACTGCCGTATCGGGAGCAGCCGTACGACCAACGGCGATCCTCTCGGTTGTTGCTGTAAGCGGATGAAGAGAAGCATGGAGTGTAGATATCAAGAGCGGTTGAGTGCAGGAGTGCCACAGCCAGCGCAGGAAACAGCAAGGGCGCACAACCACGGCATGGTCTTTCTCCAGCAATGCCCACACTCCGTCCGATCAAGCAGCAAGGCAGCAATGCTCGTCGTACCTGTGATAGGAGTTGATTGACGAGATGCCTTGGCCAGACGAGCATGTGAAGCTCAAGGGATCGTCGACTGTGTGCGTGTGTGTGTGTGCGTGTGTGCGTGCGTGCGTGCGTGCATGTGCGCGCGCGCGTGTGTGTGTATGGATGTGTGTGTGTGTGTATGGATGTGTGTGTGTGTGTGAGCAAAGCCATTCAAGAGGACGACGATGAAGATGATGATGATAGGGAACAAATCAATGTGAAGGACGAGGAGACGCATGATACACACACGCACACATCCCGCTGTCACATCACACAGAACGATCCCCGATCCTACTCACAGTTGTTGTAGTATGCGTTCGCTTGGTGTTGGCAGAGGATGCTTGCAAGCAGCACGCTGCAGAGCAGCAGCATCACGGTGGCTGTCGTGGGTGGCGGCGTCATGGTGGCTGTTGGCTGTAGCCGTCGCCAAGACGGGGTGTGATCGGGTGTCTTCTTGTGCTGTGCTCTTGATCCCACACCAATCCACAAAGCTGGCTGTTGTCAGTAATGGCGAGCTGACGTTTGTGGAGGGAGGAGAGGCAACTTGAAAGAGAACAGCTGTGCTGCGGGAGGCAGTGCGCAGTTCCTTTTTTTTGTTTCTTTGTTCGCAGGCAACGAGAGGCGTTTTGCAGGTTGATGTTGTGAATCGCGCCCACACTGGTGCTGGACACTGACCGTTGGCTCAGTTTGCAGAAGTTTGCACAAGTGCCACGAAATTTTTGTCAAGGATGTTTTGCATGCATGCATGTTGTCGGCATGTAGGACGTCGTTATGCCCCGGTGGTGTCGACAGATGGTTGGCTCAAACGCAAGTAAGACAATCTACGTTCACCGAATCCAACATCGAAGACAAGCAGCATTAAAGATATGATGCCGCTTTGAGGTTGTCTTCAAGTGGCGAAGTGCACGTGGAAGAGGACTCCCTAATCAGTGATTCGGCGATAATTTGCATTTGCTTTCTCATGCTGTCCCGCACAACTGCCTCCACTGGTGGGCGCCAACCCCACACAACACGCACCTCACAACCGCAGAAACCTTTGCAGCACAATCTTTGTCCTTTGGTGTGTGTTGCTGTCCACACCCACGCTTCATTCAAGTGAAGAAGCTTGGGCGGCAGTGCGGGTTTTGATCGTTTTTCTCGCTCGCTTGCTTCCTTCGTTTTGTTGCCTTGCTTGGTTGAGAGTCAACGACCACCGCCAGAAGCACACCACCACCACCACCACCACCAGCCAATATGATGAGGATGGGCGGCCACCTTGTGGTTGCCTTGCTCCTCTTGGCAAGCGTTACTCCAGCGCAGGCATACGTCAACTGCTTCGGTGTGTGTGTGTGTGTGCATGTGTGTGCATGTGTGTGCGTGTGTCTGTGTGCGGTCGTGTCTGTCTGCTTGTGTGCGTGTGTGTGTGTGTGTGTGTGTGTGTGTGTGTGTGTGTGTGTGTGTGTGTGTGTGTGTGTGTGTGTGTGTGTGTGTGTGTGTGTGTGTGT